GCAAAATGGCCCCCCTTAACTGAAATGTGAGGCCTCACACTCGGCTAATCCAGAGACCCCCACCCCCCACACAAACACCCCCGCTCACAGCACACACTTTTGAGACTAAACAAAAATATGAGCGTTCTTTAATCTAAACACCAGATTCTCGGGACTGAAAGTGAAACTGCTTTGCTTCCGTGGGGCCAGAGTGTTGCCTCCAGTAGCCACACAGGTTGTATCACACTTTCCTTGCAGTGTCCACCAGCATAGACGACCTTTACTGTTCTAGGCATTGCTGTGCTGCTGTACTGCTGCAAACCGCATAATTCTGCTCGCAACCGAAGGGGTTACCGGGCTACTGCATTCTAAGAATAATTCTTCGTCATAATTAAGAATGTGCAAAAGTGAGTACAATCACATTGCGATTAGTAGAATTACACTGTAACTCTGATTACAAGGTGTAAGAATGTGTCTGTTTCCAGGACCCGGTGAGGTTCAGGACAGGGATGAGGTGTGCTTTGTGTGCTGCAGCGCGCTCCTCTCTGCTGTAAACCCAGTGGCCTTTGCCTGAAAGTGCGGTATACCCACGCACAGCAGACTGTCGAGCAGGTTCCTCCACCGCCTTTGTTAATAATTGCCGAAACCTGTTCTGACTGGTCTATTTTTACAACAGAAAAAACGGCCAGACCAGAATGGCGGCTACTGTTGCGACAGCCCGCAATGATAAGAAGCCGGTGGGCAGCGGGCACGGCGGAGCCGGCCGTGGCGCTCTCTGAAGCGCCCGGGGGGCAGGGGAACCCCGAGGAGCTCGGCCATCACTGCCGCACACAGCAGCCCCCCATCCCTGCGCGCAGGTGCTCGCTGAGCGACAGAACACGTTTGTCACCATTGATTTTATTCTAGGCTGCGAGGTTCCTGAAAATATTCATCGTATTGTAAACGGCTCAAACGGCTTTTTTTAACAATCCATCAGCTGGCAAGAACAACTCAATGCTGGTGTAAACCATGGTGAAGCACCTGCTTTCTGGATTTAACTACGTTTTTTCAAAGCTAATTTAAGAGACAGGGTGATTTCTGTCCCGCGCCCCAGCCACTCCTGTTTGCTCTGTGAGATAAATTCTAGTAAGAATGTTGAACTGGACTAACCTGTGACCAAATTCAGCACCTAGAAGGTCATTCAATGACACATAGCTTACTGAGTAACAAGAAAACCCTTTTTTGGTTTAGTTACATAGGGCAGAAATTCACACTCTGCTTTTAATAGTGCAGGCATGGTTTAAAATGCACAACTCTTAAATTTGTGCTTTTTTAATAAGTTGCCCCAGCAGACTATAAAACCACAGCATCACAGTCTCTTAAATGCACAGCACCAAAAACATTTTCAGCTGAGAAAATATAAGTTTCACTTATATCACCTTCAGAGCTCTGCATGTCCCTACTCTGTAATTTTCAGTGCTCCTTAACAGCTTTCTGTAACAGTTGTAAAATCAAAGAACATTGAGATTATGGTTCTGTACTATTTACTAAAATTGATATTAATGTTCTTCTTAAAAACAGTCGTAATTGAGATCTGCCCACTATACTCAGTAATTCTTGACCAGCAGTTGACGTGTTATTTAACATTTCTGCTCCCTACCTCCATCTGCACACAGCATGAAAATTACAAATTTATGAAAACTTGTCTCTCTTGTGCCTTGCAACCCCCGAGCTCACAAGTAGAAGCACAAATCGTATTCACCGCGAGACAGCGAGAACAGAGTAGAGTAGCAGGCCTTTGCTGAGCACAGCAAGTTAGAAGAAGCAGAGAGGGGGAAACGTGGAGCTTTGAAAGACGTGCGGGTGTGCAGTCACGGGGAGAGGGAGGGAGCAGGCAGGATTGAGAAGGGAGAGCAGAGAGCACCTGTAACCTTACCGTGGTGAAAAGGCCCAAGCGAAGAATGCAAGTGGAGAACCCCCAAAAATCTCAGTTTCCCAAGTCCTGAATGCTCTGGCTCTTCTGGTCAATCAGAACCCATGAAACAGAAACACGACCGCTGGTTGCCCAGACTACAGCTCTCATTTAGTTAATCATCAGCGTTATTACCAAATGCTTCAGGCCTTCAGGAGGAAAGAGAGAAAGAAAAAAAGAGGGAGAATGAATATGAAGGAAGGCATGGAAAAAAAACAAGGAACTGACCCCGGGCTCCTCCCTTTGTGCAAGGCTAGTAAAGAGCTACTGCTATTACCTGAACTCTGTGCTCCTCCTGTCTCAGCCTTTTTTCTTTTAAGGCAGTGCCTCAGCAAAGTTTTCTTTCTTTAAAAAAAGAGAACCCTTCCAGGTAAGACTTAATCCCTGAGAGCTTTAGCTGGCTGTGCCTTGCTCAGGAGTCTACTCAGGTAGCCCTGCCTTCACAAATGGAATGTGACTCCACTGGGAAATCGGCAAGACCTGTTGGTTAAGCCACACTGCAGCTTAATCAATAGTTACTGACGAGGTACAGAACAATGAGGGAGAAACCCAAAACCTTATCTAAAGCTGGATCTTATCACAGGTACCTGGAGCCCTGAGAGACAAAACGGGGCCTTGTTTTCAAGTTAAAAAAAACGAGACTCTGCCTGCCTGTTCTCGGCTACTGTGCTCTTTCTTTACTGCTTCTTTGTCTTGACTTCTCCGTTCTCTCCTTTCTCTTTCTGGTTTGAATATCTTTCCAAAGTGTTCCTCATTTGCATGGGAGAGAAATTTGAATATGCCTTTTTTAACTAAAAGTCAATTAATACTCCCTTGTGTGACGTGACGTTTGCCAGACCTGCCCTCTGGTGTGGATCCGCAGTAGAACGGGCCCTTTTCTCACTCATGTCCTTGTCACCTCACAGGTCTGGTGTCAGGGTATTTTGAGTAATTTATTCAAAATAATTTTCCTGAAAATAATATTTTTTCAGTGGAAATGAGAGTTTTTATTGATCTTATTTTTAAACTTTTTTAAACATTCGTTTTTCTGAAAGTGTTTTATTTAAATTGATCACCTTAACAAGGGGGGTCCCTGTGTTTTTAAAATCCTCTACAGTTATATAGGTATCTCTCTGATTTTGTTCACAGACAGGATCGCAGCTTGCCAGCGGAGACTAGAGCCTCAGTGGGCTTTGCGTGTCTGTGTGTGAGATTGCTCATTTGGAGCTCACAGGCAGGATTTTCTCACAGAGGTGTTTTAGCACTTTATCTGCTAATGGCCACAAACGTGGGTTTTTTTTTCACAGCATCACAAAAATGAGCTGTTAAACAAGGGGACGGCAGTAGCTTTCGGAGACCTGGCTTTCCTTCGCAGGAAACAAAAGAGCAAGCTGCTTAGTCATAATTACAAAATGGCTGTCCTCCTGTTGGACCTGCCGATACCGGGGGCGTCAGCTGGCCTGACCTGAACCCGCGCGTTTTTACCGAGCACACACTAGGACACAGCGACCTGCCCAAGCACACCGGCCTCGCCACACTGGCCAGGAGACACACAGCAGGCGCACCTGCGGAGAATTCACCGAGACAAGACTCGTGCTCCTGCGCGCACACACACTCACACTCCTGTAGCCATTTCAGCTCACAGACGCTGCCCTGACTCGAGCTGCTCGGGGCAGTTCCCAGGCGGCCGATAAACCAGCTGCCGGACATTTTGAAAACACACGGTCAACGCTATCCATAGAAAAGAGCGCATTTCCAAAGCGTCTACCCCAGACTTTAGTTAAAATCCTAAGGCGTCGTTTTACGATAAAAGGGATCAAGAAGTCTGTTACACCGTAATAGTATCTGGCATAAGAGATAGAACGAATTGTGTGCTCTCGAGCGTGGTTCTTAAGGGCAATAAAGCAGAAAGAAACCCTTTGGAGAACAAGAGAAGGAGCACATTTATACCCAACGTCTCCTGACCAATCCAAGCCCTCCACCTCACTGTTCCTCTCCTGAAGACTGATGACACTGCTCTGTCTCGCTGCTGCCTGAGCAAACAACACCAAGTCCCCTCTACCGACCGGCTAGGCCCACAAGCGCTACTGTCCGCCTGTCTCTTGCAGCCCTTAGCAGCAGACAGCACCAGAGCTTTCAGAAGCCTTTCGATGGCCACAACACAGCACAGGGCGAAACCCCGTTCACCTACCAGCTAGCTGACAGGACCACTGCAGGCAGAGAAGGTTCTCGTACAGGAGAGAGGAAGGGAAAGAAGGTTCTTTTTGTCTAAAGTCTATCCAGCTGTACCAGAAGAAGCAACTGAGAACGAGCCCCTGTCATTTTTCTTTCACAGAGGTAGAACACATTGTTAAAATATAACATCTATAAACAGTATTTTTTGAAAGAAGTCAATTTAGTTAAAAGCATTTCTATCTCTTACAGTAAAAAAGTATTTTGACCGGTGTTTCTGAAGCGTGTTGTGGCCGAAGCTAAACTGCTGTTCTCTCCTTGCCTCCGCTGATGGTACAGCAGCACATTCGGTGTCTGAAACGCAACACGCTGTACAGCTCGGGCTTTTGTCGAAACTAGCTGTAGTTTCGATGAGCCCTTGGAAAGCAAAAGAGATCTAAGAGCCTGAGAAAATTCCTACCAGCGTTAAAAACGGAAATAAAAGAAAAGAGTTACCCATTACGAAGAGTACCGAATGCCTCTTGCTTGGTTAAATTTTAGTGTTAACCGTGAAAAGAGGGCTACTCTTTTTTTATACCTTAGGCAAGCCTGGCTGTCTGCCTGTACCTGCCCCAACTGGTTTATCCTGTAAAAGAATGAGCGTTCAGATCCGTTGTCCGCCCCTCTCCTTTTTTTCAGAAGATAGGAATCTGATGCCAATGATTTTCTTGCCATGAAATTCCCAACTTCCCTAAAACCCCAAACACAAAGTGGAAAATTTCTGCCCCGTCATCGAGCATCTTCAGATGTTGAGATTACAAATATTATATTTACTGAACCTTCTTACAGTACGTGCGAGCATGACGTTAACCTTACAGCTAAAATGAACCGGATGGTTTTTTAAAAAAGAGAAGAAAGCAGGAGAAATGAAAAGGTTTACTTTCTGATAGCGTGTTACCCAGCCGTTCCGGGAGCCGGAGCCGTCGACGGAGGGAAAGAGACACCATTGTGTGCGCTCGCACGGCGAGGAGCTCGTCTTCCTCTTCTCCACACTTGTTGAAGGACAAATAACTTCTCGCTCGCCTGTGCCTCCCTCTCCGGCACCCTTAGCCTCTGGGAAGAGGTGGAGAGTCGGGAAGGTCGAAGGAGCTGGGGGAGAGGTCGCCGAAAAAGAACAGAAGACCGCGCGCGCCACCGGGAGAAAAAAACAACTCAAAAAGACGGGACTGTCTCCGTCTTTCCTCAGGAGCGCCTGCATGCTGCGACGATACCTGGTTAAGCTCTTAATGGGAAGAGACGGAATTTGTAAAGGGCTTGGTTTACATGTCACCCCGCGCCCCTCCCCGCGCAGGTGTACAGTTCGCAGGTCAGCCAATCCCTGCGCTTCTGGCACACGCAGGTGTGTCCCCGAAGACAGGGATAGGCCAGACGAGCCAGGACGTCTGAGGTTTTTTTCCCTCTTGTGAGTGTGATGTCAGGCTTGCCTTCCGTGAGAATAACTTCCACTCCCCGACCCCTCACCCCCTCCCCCCGCCTGCCTTTCAATCGCAGTCATACTTGTCTTTCCTCCTGTATTACAGGTTACACGGAAAATGAGATCCATAAGTAAAGGACTGCAGGTGAAAAATGCGGTGCTCTAGGCTCAGCCGAGCACACTCTCAAGCTGTAAGAAGGTCACATGGGAACTCCTTATCTGATCAATAGTCATTTTGCCCTTATTCTTAAGATTGCCCTGTTTGTGTTTACGCACTTAGGCTCCTTAAACTAGGAGGATGTTACAAGCTATGGGTTTTATGGCAGTGGTTACTACCTCAGGCAAACAACCTGCCGGTTAGGCCCTGTGCTGTGGTTTGGAATGGAGCGCGGTGTCTGTCAATGGCTAAGCTCTGGCTAATACAGGCTAATTGTACAAGCCTGCAGGCTACGCAGGTTAATGTTTTTCCCGTTGAGGTATTTTCAATAATTACAGTTAAAAAACAAGTTTCTTTGGTGGGGGGTGGGTTTGAGTATTTTTCACAGAGATGTCTCCTGTTACTGCAGGCCGCGCAAGGTCAGACTTTCCCAGCCTGTTCCTCTGCGCGAGGAGAGACCTGATGCAAGACAATAATACAGGAGAGAGCAGGGGACAATGCAAGCATACGCAATCCAATACAGCGCAAAACGACACAGTGATGGACACCAGAATAACAGGCGGCACAATGCGCTGTTCAGCACTGCCGTTCTCAAGTGGCAGTAGCAGAAAAGCAGCTGTTGCCAAGCACAGATGCCCGAGAGCAGAAGAGCTAAAAAATCAGTCAGGTCTCGCCTTTGTTTAAAAAAGGAAGAAGACCAGTGTTACAGCGATAGCCCAACACCTGCATGCTCAAGACGAATTTTATTTCATTGTGCCTCTGTGTGCGTTCTCTGAATTTTGGGTGAATAATTCAACCAATGTCACTGCGAGGTTAAAAATCTTGTTTAATTTCCCTGTTAGCTTCGGTGTGTAAATTATAGATGCTGAGAACACCAGAGGGTTTTTGACTGAGACTCCATCTCGACAGAACTAGGCCTGTGGTTGTTTGCCAAGCAGGGCATGGCGGAGCCCATTCACAGGCTCCTATTCACAGGGGCTCCAACAATGTGGACGCTGTTTGATCCCGGTGCGTTGTGCAGGGGGGTGGGGGCTAAATCCAGGGCTCTGCTTCTTTTCTCTCCCAAAGCACACAAAGGGTGCTCCACCACTGCTTCCATCTTCCGCTCCGAAAACCCCTCGAGCTGCAGCCTGGGGGGGACAGGTGTGTGGGGGGGTGTTGTGCCTAGCGCTCGCGGTAATCTGCAGAATTCCTTCTAGTAAAGGGCTTCACAGCCCACGCTGCAGCCTCATCCACTGAGCACACATTTAAAGAAAAAAGGGATTAGCTTCATTCTTCAGGGACCACAAAAAAGACAGGATTTGTGTACCCCTCTAGTGTAATACTAGACAACACATTTATCGCATTGTGAACATCTGCAGACTGTCTCCGGAGCAAAAAAAGACTACAGCGACCCTTTTATTGTTTATTTCTCTGGCCTAAAAACACTTCAGTTTGTTTGAATGAACATTATGAGCTCAACCTATTTTGTGAACGCAAAGTTTTGATGCCATCGCCAGTCTTACTTGTCTATAACAAGTATCCATTCAGTCTTGGCTCAGAAAAAGTTTGCCAAAATATGTGACAGAAAATCAACAACATAAAAATAATACCTCTCCTGACTATAGCTGTCTCAATATAAAGGTTTTAATCCAGGATTTATTTACAAAGCAATTCAGTGTTGCTAAAGTGGCTGAAACACGCATCTAATGAAGCTTAGGAAGCAAACATCTTCCCTGAAAGAGGACCGCGAGTGGACCGCGCTGAATGTAGCTGGAACTGTTGAAAGCACTCGTGCCCTCGGAGCCCACTCGCCTCTGGCCGCTCTTTAGAGTGTGTACAAACACCAGGACTCTGATTCAGGCAATCTGAGTAATGTGAATAGTGTAGTGGAACCCCTGACTACTTCAGGCTCTACTTTAAAATGAAAGGAAATTACAACTATTTTCACTTCACTGAGCATCTTGATAACATCTATTCTTCCTTACATTACAGAAACAAATCAACCTGAAACAGTAGTGAGATCACCTGAGACGTGTTCTGCGCAGCCTTTGTATAGTTTGTTTAATTTATCATATTTCTGGACGCTTGAACTCACCGTGCGTGCGTGTGCAAGTCCGGTGAGATATTGATCACATCGATCGTCACCAGGATTGTGACCGGACTGGCACTGGTGAACAGAGGAATGTTGCCCGGTCTCACGCTCGCCACTGAGCGACGCCAGAGCAGCAGTGCCAGTGTCACGCAGGGCTTGTGGACCACTCCCCAGGCTGGCCAGGGGAGCTCTGTTCTGCAGAGGAGCCACAACTGCCCCGTGCACCCTGTCTGTCTGTGGTCATCTGCCCTGTGGCCCCGACTGCCCCGTGCACCCTGTCTGTCTGTGGCCAACTGTGGCAGAATTGTTATGGAGGCTTTCTCCCCCAGAAGCCTTGCGTTCAGACAGCAAGAGCAGCAAGGGAAGACAGCAGGATGATGGGTAATATTCCTGGCAAGCCTTTTTCTTGTGAAGTACAAATGAACACTTTTTTTTTTTTGCCAGATCCGAAAGGGCAAATATATTGCCTTCCACTCACATCACTGCCCCTTAGTTCCTTTTTTCTAATAGTCGCTTTTGCTTTTTTGTTTAATGAATGGCCAAATATTGTGTTAAATAGTTTTAAAGTAAAGTTGAGTTGAAGAGATTTTCCAGCAAAGGATAAAAGCAGGAACGGTCAGGCAATCTCATATTACAGTATGCTGGATACACCCTGTTATATAAAATGTCAGTCTTTCTCTACTGTATTTTGAATATTAGGTTAAGCTTGTATAGTTTTGCATGACGCGTGTGACAATTCTTAATGCATTTTGTTGAATCTTGGCTCAAAGGTGTGCCAATCCCCCTGGACTCAAGTTTATCAAAAAGCCTGAGTTCTGAAATAATTTTCCTATTTCACTCTCGTGCACTTCCTAGCAAGTCATCTGAGGCCTTGCTTTGGGTAACAAATCTGGATTCAAAGCATAAGCCACCCTGGCAGCAGAACCATTTTAATTAAAATACAACAGAAATGGTAACGCTGAGCCCTGAGCCCGGGGCACAGCACACGCCTCTCCACGTTAAATACACGGGCACAGTCGGCTTGAACATTCATTTCCCAAGTGTAAAATGTCCCCTGGACCCAGGAAGGGAAAATGTACTTTTAGTGTTTAAAAGTTTTCACTTCCTTACTCTGTCTCGCTGTACTTGTGCGTGAGGGCCACTCACGGTGGAAAGAAGGAGCAGGACTGGGAAAGTTGCAGGCCAGGCAGCCTTGCTGCAGTCATCAGGAGGTATTAAGCAGCTGCTGAGAAGCTTATGAGATTTGCATAGGGATCTTTCACAGCTCCTGGGTTGTCTTAAGGGCCGGCTTAATTATCCCCAGTGATGACAGTTTCACAGTCCCGAAAGTTGTGTAGAAGGCGGTTGGGGTTTGGGGAGCCGACGGCCTGCAGTCTGGCGGTGCCCTGCTGTGAGTGCAGTGCCACTGGTTTGTGCCGTTTTGTGGCGTGCTTGTCTGAATGTGACCACGTGCTGGCCTGGCATCTTGCCTCGTGCCTGCATACGCTGGGCTGGTGCTGGCCCCTGCCTGCACTGTGGGGGACCGCCACGGCCCTCCTGGTGCTCTTTCTTTGGCCCGGGCCTCTGGGCGAGGAGAAGCATCCTACTGGAAGGTGTGCGGGCCTGATGGCAGGCAGGCAGGCAGGCAGGCACTGGGCTGGCAGGCCTGCGGCGGCTCCGGGCACCGAGCACGAGGGCATTGCCCCTCGCCAGGTGGGAAACTGCACCAGCACGGCCACGATAACAGGCTGCACAGCTCTGATGACTCTTTCCAAGGTGTCTTCTTAAGCTTCGCTGCAGTCATTATGCAGGCAAGATTAATTAAATAGAAGCCGTAAATACTCCTTTGTGTACGCAGGGGAAAGCTGTAATAATGTGTATTAGGGTGGGGGAGGTAATGTTGTATTTGATCCTGCATACAAATGTTTGTTTTGTGCATTTAAAACCTGTGTAAATAGGATACAGGGAAGTCTGTGTTATTCCAGTTTGCTTTTTTCCTGTTCTTGCCTGTACACTTAGGTTGACAATACTGTCTCATCTCATACCGGTATGTTAGGAAGGTGTGAGTAAGACCAGTAAAAAAACAGTGACACATTGCACAGCGTGTCTTTTTGATCCATTTAGTGTTGAGATGAAGCTGTACTTGCACACTCAAACTCTTCATCCTCTGGGTCAGTGCAGCTGTGAGGAGTAACGCGAGGAGTAGAAATCTAACTCTGTAAAAGCTGTGCTTTGTTTGGTGTTGTCATTTGCCTTCCAAATGAGGCAGAGCACCGAGTCTGCAGCGAGCACCAGCTCATTTGTGTACAGATGAGTATCTCTGGGGGGCTGTCACGCAACGGCCTGTGAGGAGACGGACACTAGCTTGCCCTACCTGCGCCCGTGTCTGTAACTACACCCCACACTGCACTGTCGTAACTGCTGCTGTAGTTGGTGCTCTCTGCTGAACACGCTGCACTGTCGTTACTAACTGCTGCTGTAGCTGGTGCTCTGTGTTGA